CTGAATAACTGGTGGGCGATAAGAACTCTCTTGTATAACACTGAGATAGGGTCGCACTAGAGCACCTCGAGGAGGCGGTGGTGCTAGATATGGGGGTCTACTGGACTGCCCTATCACGAACTGACCTCTGCCCCCAGACAGAGCACCTCTGAACTCTCCAGAATACCTAAACCGCTTATCTCTCGTAATATGCTCTCGGCTCCGCTGACGCACACCCTCTATCCTCCGGGCTATCTCCATGACTTGCTCATAAGAAGTACTCATCTCAACCTCTCGAGCCATAGTGTCTTGAATGCTAATATGTAAACCCGCAACAAACCTCCGCACTCTCTCCTCCTCAGTAGGTAGTATCATAAGTGTATGACGAGATAACTCAGAGAACCTCGCCTCATAATCAGTCACTGACATCTGACCCTGCTGGAGCTGCTCAAACTGAAACCGCAACTCTTCCCTCTAAGAAGGTGGAATATACATGTCGAGGAAAATAAGGGTGAACCTGTCCCAAGTCATGGGAGGAGAATCTATTGGTCTGCCAAGAACATAAGACTGTCACCATCTACGAGCTCTACCCTCTAGCTGAAAAGTAGCAAAGTCTACCCAATGAGACTCCAATATCCTCATGTTGTACAGTCTATCCTTACACTGATCAATGAAATCTTGGGGATCCTCATGTCGCTCACCCCCACAGATAGGAGGATGTAGTCTAGTCCATCTGTCCAATAGTTTCTAAGGATCAGCGACTGCAGCTGGCCTGGGCTCAGGTGTAGCTGCCGCCACTGGCTGGGCTCCACCCACGGGTAGTGCACCCTGGGTCTGATATACAGTAGCTACCTGTCCATGAGCATGTGCGATAGGGGTTTATGCTCTCCCGCCCACCTGGGATGTGGCTGGGTCTGCCGGAAATAAACCGACTTGAGTCATATTGTCCATGAACCGCAACATACGACCCATAACATCCTGGAATCTCGGTGCAGATGTGAAATCCACCGGAGCTGGCTCTGCCACAGGAACCTCACCATGTTCCTCAATAATGGGATTCTCCGCTGGACCCACTGGCGGCATAACTGGGACAGTCCTCGCCCTCTACCACGGGCTGGAGCCCTCCCTCGGCCTCTAGCAACTGGGGGAGTAGCTCTTCCCTGGTCTGGAACCTCATTAGAGCGCGTTCTCACCATCTCTGAGAGAATAAGAGAAGGATATTTAGTACTACATCAATTTCACGATGGAATATGAAGAAAGGTAGTTTCCTAACACCCTATAGCCTCTCGAAGATAAGTACAGACATCTCTGTACCGATCCGCAATACTCTATTAGGTCTGCTCATAACTTGTGAGACCTACGTGAACTTAGTGTTCTGATATCATGCTGTTACGACCCAATTTTACCTATAGGTCATGTTGGCGCCCAACACTACAGCTAGGAAAGGCAACAAATAAATTAAACATATATCACTTATTTTCAGAATAATTTTCTAAGTAATTTTATTATTTTTCTAGAAATATTAAAGAAATTTGAAAAGATACTGATTAACTTAAATCCAAGAAAATAATACAATTCCAAATTCTACCAATGTGTGTGCCAAGATATGGTATCACAAGTGTTGTTAAATTGTACAGGTTGATTTGTAGGTGCCTTGCCTTAGCCTCGTCACTACTTTGTCGAGGTTAGGCTCGACACTTAACAGTACATGGGGTCGGTTGTACTGATACTGCACTCTGCACTTTCTGTGCAGATTTTGATACTGGCTCGGGTTGATCGAGATTTTGCTATTGGCCCGCTATCCGGAGACTCAAGGTAGATCTGTCGGTGTTCACAAACCTTGAAGTCCCCGTCTATCTTTTCTGTTCTACGATTTCTTTCATTCAGACAGTTGTATTTCTTTTAGACTATTACTTGTAGTAAATTCTAGAATGCTCATGAATTGTGACTTCAGATTCGGGTGGTAGTAATTAATACAGTTTTATGATATTTTGCACTTATTATATTTCATCTTAGTTAATTATTGTTAACTACTGAATGGAAATAAGGAATTAGTTTAATAATTTTCTAACGTTGGCTTGCCTAGTAAGTGAAATGTTAGGCGCCATCACGGTCCCATCGGTGGAAAATTTTGGATCGTGACATATATACATCTTATATAGCTTATATAAGATGTATATATAGCTTATCGAATATAGCTTATTATATATATATA